TTCAAAATAAAGCTGTTTCCAGAAAATGCTTGTTGTAATAAAGAGGAAGGAATCGGACCACTTAGGAAGACCAGCATGTTGGAGTAGAATTGTCACGTGGAATCCATTCTCTCATCCCCCAGCCGTGAGTCCAGAGGACACAGTCTAGATTCTGTCTATTTAGAAATACACAAACAAGGGGAAATGGAGCGTCTTTCAAAAGCTGAGGTGGAGCACGAGAGAAAGGGTCACAAACTCACTGCTGAAGCATCTTGCTGGAGCTGCCTTAGACCCAGAGACGCCGTTCTCCTCCCACTTCCATAAACCTCAGGATCTTACATCTTCTGGACTTCTGTGCCCTTAGTGCCTTAAGTGTCCCCTCCCAATACCCACCCCCCAAAGACCTGAGCTACCCTGTGGCAAGTTGGGTTTCCCAAAGACGGCCACATCAGCGTGTTCCACTGCACACGCTGTTCTTCCACGTGACATTGACATGCCTTCATCTGTATATGTCTACGTATGTTTCCCCCACAAGATAGTGTCTGTATGTGAGGGAAATGGGGTCTGTATTGGTTTTCTATTTTTGCCTGACAAATCACTGTGAACTTAGCAATTTTAAACCGTTCTTCTATTATTATCTGACATGTCAGGAGGCGTGCGTGACTGGGTTCTCTACGCAGAGGATCAAAAAGCTGAAGTCAAGGTAAGGTCCCATCTGGAGACTCCGAGGGACAATCTGTTCCACACGCTAGTCCTTGGACAACTTTGGTGCCTCGTAGCTGCAGAACTGTGGTGGCCTTTTTGTTGTGGTCAGCAAGAGACCATCCCCATGGCTTGCCGCACGGCCCCCTGCCTCTTCGACCAGCATTGAAATTTCACACTTCAACATTCTGACTTCTTCTCTGATCATCCTGAGAAAATTCCCTGCTGTTAAAGGGCCCCTATGTTAAGTCAGGCCCACTGAGAGTTTCTTTCTTAAGGTCAACACATTTGAGATCTTAGTTACCAAAATACCTTCACAGTAGCAAATAGGTTAGTGTTTAATAACTATAAGGAAGTGTGTATATACCTGAGCCAGGGGTTT